ACGCACTATTTTTCGCTTTTATCAATAACATGATGTTGAAGGAATGAAAAACAAAGAGAAAAATAAAGAAATAAAATGAAAATCGTATTCTATCATTAAAATCGTATATTTAACCAATCATAAACATTTTAAAGAATTCTTACAAGATGATGAAATATCAAGTTGCTCTTACTTCTCGCTATATTTAAATAAATATTCAGCAATCAGTAAACAATATTTAAAGTGAACATACAATATTTATCTAATGAAAAAAGTCTCTTCTTCTTATCAAATTAAACAAGAAAGAAAATGAGAAGAAATTCACATCCGAACGACCATTGATGCAGGTCTTCAAAAAAGAAATTTTTTTTTTGACCTACTCGATAAATGACAAAACAATTTTCTCATTTTATACTCGGCAACATAAAGCATAGAAATTGAAGTTGAAATAAACTTCATTCTTGCACCAATGGTTGATGGTAGATGACAATCAGTTATTAAAATAAAAATGTATGCGTCATAGATAATAGTCAAAGAGAAATGCTTTTACGCAAAGTAATAAAATAATAAAAATGATAAGGAACATAATACTGAAAACATTCTCCAATTTAATGTAATGATTTAATTTTTATTTTATGTACTTTAATCAAGATTTTTTAAAGATATCTTTAGCACATTATATTTAGCTTTTTTCCCATCTTTTTAAAAAACTTTTTATCAATTAACATATTTTATTCGAATCGAATGTAAGGATGAATTAAGAGAGTCTTTGGCCGCTTATTTAACAGAAAGTGCAATCGAATAAAAACGTGGAACGTCCGAGAAAAAATATGGTCATTGATAGAGAAAGCTTTTATTTTATTATTTCTTCGATATTCAATTTATATTCTTAAGTTTAGCTTTTAAATCCTGTTTATGCAATTTATATTAAATATTAATATTAATAAATAAAAACTCTAAACTATTTTTCCTAATTGAAGCTTTTCGCCAATATTTGAACTTGCAATTTGATTGCAATTTCATTAAACGCTTTCTATTGCGACGCATGACAATCAAGCGTAAGGGCGAAAGGTTTCAAGCGACACTAATGCGACACCTTTCGATGCTTGATGTTTTTTCAATGGAACATTTCTAACTTTCCTACAATTTTCCGACAAATAAGAAATCAATCAGAATTCTGCAATATCACGAGATGGATGAATAAAAGAAATGAAGATGACATTTAAAATGATACAATCGTATTGTAATAAGTCCAATTATAATCTCAATGAAAATATATTGAATTAGTTTTTTGTTTTAATGTTTAAGAAGTTTATTTTATATGAATGTTTTTGCGAAAATCAAATAAAAAGATTTCTACAATTTTTCCCCCGAAAATGATGAGTAAGAAAAGAAAAAGAAAAAGAAACAAAAAAAAATTAAAACACAAGAAAAAAATGATCACAACACTCATTAAAGGATAATGTAAGAATGAATTCTATTTTTGATCAAACATAAGATGAAAATTCCTTAATTAACAATGGAAAAAGTTATATTATATTATTGAGAAAATTGTAGTCGAATGGAAAGGGAAAAAATTTTTGCATCTTAGAAAATCCAAAAGGTTGCATTTAAAAAAAATTACAGAATTAAAAGAAAATTATGAAAGAAGAAACACACATAAATGATAAATTAGGAAAAATTTTTGTCGTTTTATAACAATCCAGGAATAAAAAGGAGAAATTAAAAAAAAAATTAGTTTGTTTTTGTTTTTGATATTTTCAGGAAGCCAAATAGACCAAAGAGTTGGCAATTCTGGTTAAATAGAGAAACCTGATATGAATGCCAACGACATTTGGTTGTATCAAGTTTATCTTGCTTAAACTGTGCAAACAAATCACAGATAGTTGACTGTCATCGTTTGTTACTTGCATTGCAATGATGATTTGTGAAATCTGATTTTAGTTTCATTATTTTCCAATTTACTTACTCGTTTCGCAAACTTTGCAATCGTTTACAATTTAATTTTGATTCGATAAAAGTTTTCCTTTTTCCACTTAAATATCTCAACATCTGTAATCATTAAAATAATAAAATTTTCTTTTAACTTTTTAGATAATTTTTGGCATTTATTTTCCTCTCATTAATTTAAATAATAAAACTTTATCGCCTTAAACTACTAAAAAAAATAATTTTTTTTCTTCATCATTTTACAAAAACGAGTTTAGCGAGGGAGGAAATGAAAATTTTTTTGATGATGAGTGCGATGACATAAAATCCACCCGACGGATGCTTTGAAAAAAAAATTGTTTTTTGGAATGATAATTTCACTTTCAATTATGATAATTAAATGGCTTTTGTGTAGTTTTTCTCTTTTTCATTTCTCTCATTAACAATCACTTTGTCATTATCATCGGCTTGCACAACTTTTCCCTTGAGTTTCTGCTTTTTTCTGTTTAATATAAAATGCTGGAAGCGTCGTTTGAGTGCTTGTAGTGGACAACCCCTTTGTTTGCCACATTTCATGTGAGTTTTTGCCATTTTTATAATGCTGTTGTCGTTGAGTTGCTGTTGTAAATGACATTGTTGATCTTCCTTCAACTCATCATTCTTACAACGATCTTTGAATTTCTTTTTCATCTCAATCATTAGTCGAATCATTTCACTGCTAAGGTTATCCGTGATAAGTTCGCAGTCTATCTCATCATATTGACCAGCTGCGGGACCACCACTGAAGAAATTTGAAGAACAATTAAAATAAGAAGAACTAGCGCCTGGACTCATGTCAGTCTCATCATCGTGGCCGTCCGGCGGCTTACGATCATCATCATATTCTCGATTCGATGAAAGATTTGTTATGCAGTCTTGTGAGTAACTCTGATGACACGACGGCTGATAAATAACAGCTGACGCGAGACCAGATCTCCCTGAAGTTAATGGAATTCCATCTACCCACTCATCCCTTACTGGATCATACACTTCAACATTTGCAAGGAAATGTGTTCCATCATAGCCACCCTGAAACGAAATCATTGACAATAAGTTGAGAAAATCTTTTTTTAAGAAATTAACTCACCATAGCGTAGAGTTTTCCGTCAATAACATTCACTGATAAAGCGCTCCGCGATGTTTTCATTGAAGTTACTGTTTCCCATGTCTGACGATCAGTGTCGAAACGTTCAACCGATGATAATTGCCGCGATCCATCGAAACCTCCTATTAAAAAAAGAGAGATGAAAATGAAGAAAATAATTAAATTAATTAAATAATAAACTCACCAACGACATAAATAAATTGATTCAACACAGCAACACCAGCACCGGAACGTGAAAATTTCATTGACGGCATATCTGTCCACGCATTATTCTCAGGATGATAACATTCCATTGAAGCCAGTCGATGTTCGCCATCAAAGCCACCAATCGCATAAAGCTATTCATTAATTATTTTATTAAAATATTTGTCAATGACAGAGAAATTCTTCTCACCAATCGATTAACAACAGCAACACCAACAGCCAAACGTTTTGATCTCATTGTTGCAATGAGAACCCATCGATCTTGTTCTGGATCGAAGCTAAGAAGTTAGAAAGACTTTTAAAACGAATTGGAAAGAAATATGTTAAACTCACTATTCAACTGAGTTATGATATTCCGTCCCAGATGATCCACCAACGGCATATAAAAATTCATCCATCACAGCTACACCAACACGATTTCTTGGTACACTCATTGGTGCACATGGCCGCCAAATTTCCGTTAATGGATCGTAACTAAAGAAGGGAAATTAATTTTTAATTCATTTTATAAATAATTTTACTCACCGATCAACCCAATCTGAGTCGTAGCTTGCACCAGGCGCATTATTTCGACCACCAACGGCATAGAAAGTTCCTTTAAGAAAAGCTGCTCCTAAACCCGATCTCGGGACTGTAAGTTTCGGTAGTGTCGTCCATGTACGATCATCAACGTTATATCCTTCAAGAATATCTAACGAATGCTGAAAGTAACCACCAGCAACAAAAATCATTCGCGTTGTATTTGGCTTCCGCTCTTTGACAATTGGCCGCTTATGCAACGTTAAATCTTTGAAGATCTTCGCTAAGTACTCACGACATGCTGGCACTTTCCGAAGAACATCACAGTTTTTCATTTGTTCTTTTCTGAAATGAAATAAATTATTTTAAAATGACATTTATTAGATAAAATTAAAGTCCGAACAGGTTAAATTTAGAATATTTCATTCAAATTTAAACATTTATCATAAATAATAAAATAAAATTAACAAAGATATCTTTCATCCCACCCACACCAAGAAATTCTTCAAGTCATTAACAAATTTCAGTTTCAACAACAAAATTAACTTACAAAAATTTTGGCGTTAAAAATTGACAACGAACAGCATATAGAATATGTTCCATCTTTGGATAACGATTATCTTCATCATATTTCACCCATTTAAGGACAGCATTGTACACTTCTCGCTCTTCTTGAACATTCAGCTCATCTTTTCTTATTAGATTAATCAATTGAATTGCTGACAACTGAAGAAATTCTTCTTCCTGGCAAATTTGTGTGAAATGTCGCTCAATGAATTGATTTGCTTTTTGTTTTAAGATCGCACAGCCGTGTTGTTCAGCAAAGTTTGCAATGCCAATCGCATTTGTGGGATCGAGTTGACGTTCGAGAAAGGCACAACAGGCTTCTATCACATTAGGTACTTGAAACATTGTCGCCGCTGGCAGCAGTTGACAAACTGTTACTTCCGTCACACGAATTCTTCCTGTGTACATGAAAGTAATGATTCTTGCCATACTCGTGGGACAAACTCCTTGCAGCTTCACTCTTGACATTTCACATTCCTTTAATCCACCGGTAAACATTGCCTTAAAATACGGACTAGCTGATGATAATACCACTTTGTGCACATGAAACAATTCATTTTCAACTTCCAGAACGCAATCCGTAAGCATGTGGTGTTGTCTCATCATGTACATCATCTTAAGCGCTTCTTTGGCATAATTGCTCATGCAAAAAGTCATGTCACCGAGATCATCTTTCGATTGGCTGTTCCTGCCGCTACTTGATGAGCCGGGTAGAGCTGCACTCATCAAGATATCCTCGTCGGTTGTATCCATAGATTGTACTGAATACTAAAGAGAAATAACAAAAAAAGAGAATTGAGAATTAATGATTCCCTTCCCAACAACAATCATCACTTTGAAGGGTTAACGAATCCCCAATGTGACCGGTTAAAATTCACATTAATTCAGAAGATAATTATATTCTTTTTATTCCTAGGCTGAAATTATGTGTTTATCATCATGAAGATGTAAAATCCGTAAGAGAAAAAAATAAGAAAAATAAAAAGATGAGAATTAAAACTGGAAGAACTTGACAAACATTAACAAGGTGTGGTGACAATTGAGGTATCGTAAAAAAACAAATAATTTTCTTCTTAATTGACAAACTTTTTCTTCTTTTATTATTTTCACTTCTAATGATTTATTTTTTAAACAAAAACTTGTGAAGATTACACGGAAGTTTCGATAATATTTGATAAACTTCAACTTGAAGCTTTCATTGAACTTTGTTGAAGGTTGAATGAAGAAACCTTGAACTGTTGTGAAGCGGAGATGACTTTTGTCCCATTGAAATAGTGTGTGATAAAAGTAAACAATTATCGTCAAAATTTCACCATCATGCAAACACTGAAGAAAGCGTTGTGTGAGAAACCAGACTTAAAATCGATGTACTTAGTCCGATTGGTTTATTTTTATTGCTGAATCACGCTACGAAATCATTTTTTCATATCTATATTGACTAACTCAATGGCAACAGAGCATTTTTAATGTTTCTTTTGTACACTTTTTCAATAAATAATTTCGTTTAACAAAAATTTGTATGAACTTTGACGTTTGAAGAAGAACTAAAAATCAATCACCTCAAGCAGTTTCTGTCTTTTCATTATTGTCATAGCATTTTCACTGATTTTTCTTACTTATCAAAAAATAAAAAATTAAAAATCACAAGTTAAAAACTTCCTTAACTTTTAGATAAACTAAAATGAATTTTTCTTTCAAAGAAAGATCGATCTAATCACGTCGAATCGCGTGTTGAGATTGAACAAACTTCTGAGACAACCGAGACAAATCAACAAGAATGACGTGACGGAAAACACTATGAAAACATTTCTCGTTTATCTGTTTCTTCGTATTTACAACCAAACACCTTTTTTGCTTGTATTAATCAATTGAATTACGATAAAATATTTTATAAGAGCTGTTTACACTGCTATATAACATTTTTACTGTCTAGCAATGAGCCACAAGGTGAAATATGTTAAGTGCAAATGAAATGAAAGCAAAACAAGATCTATAAAATACCAAAAAAGTATTTAAAACGTTGTCAACTGTGACTTAATAAATTTTTGCTTTCATCCCACAACACATCTTTTTATTTTTTTATTAATCAATTAGATACAAACTTTTAAAACCGAAATATCATTTGCTATTTATAAATACCCCAATGACTCTGTTTGTTATAGTTACATTGTAAATAAGTGTGACATTTGTTACTGCTCCAATTTCAACTCATTCATAGTAAACATGCGTGATAAAATGAAAAAGTCAGGCTTCACTAATGAGATACTGACAGAATTTCTACATCATGCTGTGATTAACTTTTGTTTTGCTTCTCTAAGAATATTTTCAACACATTTTCTCTCTGAGATTTTTATTTAGTTGTATTTTAGACAGAAGCAACTGGTAAGCTGATTGACAAATTAGAAAACATTTTAGTTGCGTCTATAAGTATTATCGTGTAACAACTTAGAACAATCTTCATTTGCTTCCATTTATAAAGAAAGAAAGAATCAGCTTAATAATATATTTCCAAAAACACTTTTATGAGTGTTGACTTTATGGGGAAAAAAATATTTTTTTTTTCTAAAACGCGATATGCATAATTTGATGTGTTTCAGTTTTATTCTAAATTTATTTAAACTCGCTTGCTAAACGGGGGTTTCGTCGTGAATTAATTAAAATTCTTCTGCGCAATCATCATTTGATGACAACAGCAAAGTCTCAAAGAGGTCGATGAAACATAACAACAAGTCCGGTTCTTTAGGATCGTTTAATTGATACAAATATTTCTTTCTTTCCTACATTAATTACCTTGCGTGATTAATTAGAATTTCCGTTCAACCCTAAAGTTTACAAGATAAGAGAAAGAAATAATTTTCAGCTCGTTAGCTTAGTAGATAATTAAATATGCAATGTCATCGGCATTTCTTACTTATTTTGACGACAGAAAAGCTGGAAAATTGCATCACAGACGTTAGCGGCCAATAGCGGAAAAATTAATTTATTAAATAAACCTCATAGTGAAAACGTTGTTATTACCGTTAATTTCACCCTCGGGTGACTGCCCGACCACAAATTAAATAAAAATTATTGATTTGAGGTCAGACAACAACGTGTGACATGTAAACAAGTAGCATTCGAATCATCGGTTTTCGTGACTCTCTGCGCTTATTTACAGGAGACAAAAAAAGTTCAATGTTAAGGTTTTTCTTCTTTTTTTATGTTGTTTTGAAATAAAACTTCGTTAGAGCAACGTTTAATTCGATTCATTATCAAAATGATCGCTTAAAGCAGACTTTGTATGCTTACGAAAAGCGTGCAAATATTAAGAGAAGAGAAGTTGTAAAAAAAAGTCGCTCTCAGTTCCCTCGTTTATGACCGTAAGCATATAGCCAACAACAGCTTTAAATATATTCATCATTCTCGCAAGTCATCTTCCTCTAATTTAACAACACAATACGCTCAACATTTGCGTAGAATATTTCAGGAGATCGCATTTTTTTTCTCATAATTTGAGTGGCAAATATGAAGGAATTTTATATCCACAAGATACAATGTTGATGTTAAATGTTAGTCACGTTGTTTCTCTCAAGATTTTTCTATATTTTCCAGACAACCAATCCCATAGTTGTAAAGATATAAAAATATTAAACGACACTCAGCAAATCTATAAAGTGTCTAAATATGAAATAAAATAATTTTCACTGTTAGGCGAAAGCAAATAAAAATGTTCAAGGCCGGAAAGCATGTGGTGGCAAAATTTAATCTCTTTAGGCATGTAGTAAATAAAACTTAGATTAACATTCTGTCAATCGTTTTTCGAAGAAATTTATTATCGTGACTTCATTCTTCTTTTGTTAATTCTCTTAAAATAATAGATCATTAGTGACGATGAAATCGTTTTGATTATGAATTCTTTCCGGCGTTGATGAAGATACGAAGCGTTAAAAATGGTATAAATAGAACACGATGGATTGAGGAAATTACCTAGCGCATGACCTGAGACATAAAAAATATTTATATACATGAAAAGAAAAATATGCCAGTCAATGACTCAATGTGCGGATAGACTAAAGATGTGTCTCTTCGTTACTGTTTTTAAACCTGATCGAAAATTAGATCTCCAACATACTCAAGCTCGTTTTCTATTTCACTGTACGATGGAAATGTTTGAAAACTTCTTTTTCTTTACTCATAAAATCGCCGAACAGTTAAAGCCACACGCTTTGTAAATTGAATTCTTGAACATTGAACCGTGATAGTATTGATAGAGTCATAAACTGTGCTTATCAACAGAATAATTAAATCGCTATTTGTGACGTCAATTTTATAAATGTTGATAGATATTTAAGAAATGATTTTTAACTGATTTGTAGTCCACGAGATAAATAATAAACTAAACTGAGTACAAATGATAAGAGGAACTTGAAAAAAATTGTATAGTCATGCTACAAACACATAAATTGATGTTTCCATCAACCGATAACATTCGATAAACAGCTGTCTTTTCAAACAACATTTTTAACTGACTTAAGCACGGTGTGACTGGCATTGAATCTTAATGAAATTTAAATTTAGCAATTAGAACTTTATAATCCAACTTTCCCTCTTTTAAAACCAAACCACTTTTAACGAAAAAATATTCGGAAGTTATTATTAAAAATACTAAAGAAATAATTTTTGCGTTCATATACACTTATGTATGTTTGATTTTTTTTTCTTAATTAATTGATCATGATGACTTTTGTTTTATTTTCTTATCAACAAAAGCGTAACTTTATCTAAGCAATATTAACTTTATATGTTGCGGGTTATTAAGATATTGGATAGTTAAATTATGTTTGCTTAACGAGTAAAACTGTTGTTTCATTGCTATTTTACACATTGATCTTCTCGAAACTTTGTTTTTATAATTTTTCCAAGTAGAAAACACGAATATTTATTCCTCAAAAATAATCAATTTTCTTTCCTGAATACAATTACACTAATGATTTTCAGTTGCATAATCACTTTGTTTATACTTTGGTAAGCACTCACCAGGTTTTTGCAGCAGTTTTACACGAGAATATTAAAAGTTCGATTGACCTGCGAGCACATAGATTAAAATTTTACAGAAACTGATTTAACATAAAGCTTTGAACTAAAAATATTCTCTACAAATTTTTGTAGCATTTGATTTCAATTTCTTATCTTGATGTTATCATTTATTGTAGAGTTTTGATTCATTTATGAAATAGTTCAAATGATAACATTCTAAATCAGTTCTTATCAATTTAATGCAAAATTCTTTGAATTCAAAGCTTGATTATTTACTAAATGCAGGGTGGAAGGAATATTTTTGTATCATTGAAATCGCCCACTTTTCAATTTTTTCAAACCCTGCAAAACTCACAATTTTCAAACCCTGTAACTTTTTTTCCCAAAACAACTCGCATTTTTAAAAGAAATAATTTAAAAAAACACATAAAATAGGATATAGAACCATTTAAAAAGTAGTTAGAAGGAAGCTTCCACCATGTATGACAATGATGATGGTAAGTGTCAAGGGAAATTTGTAGAATTTCCTCGAATTTCGGCAAGTTATAAAATTATTTTAAAAAACAACAAAAAAAATGCTTCCAGTTTACAACGATGAAGAAGATCAAGAAATTTCTGATGAATTATGGCAAGAAGCCTGCTGGATCGTCATTAACGCTTATTTTGATGACAAAGGCCTTGTAAGACAGCAATTGGACAGCTTCGATGAATTTATTCAGATGTCTGTCCAAAGTATTGTCGCCGAATCACCAGCAATTGAACTTCAAGCCGAAGCTCAACATACATCTGGTGAAATAGAGAATCCTGTAAGTTTTTATTATGATAGAATTATGGCAAATGACTAATTTATTTAATTTTAGTTACGTTATATGGTAAAATTCGAGCAAATTTACTTATCGAAGCCGACTCATTGGGAGAAGGACGGAGCACCATCACCAATGATGCCAAATCAAGCACGTCTTCGAAATTTAACATACTCTGCCCCACTTTACGTTGACATAACTAAAACCAAACACATAGAAGGACAAAAACCTGTCGAGACACAACATCAGAAGACTTTCATTGGAAAAATTCCAATTATGCTTCGATCTGCTTACTGTTTACTGAATAATCTTTCAGATCGTGACTTGACTGAATTAAACGAATGTCCACTTGATCCTGGTGGATATTTCATTATTAATGGATCTGAAAAAGTCCTCATTGCTCAAGAGAAAATGGCAACAAACACGGTTTATGTGTTCAGTATGAAAGATGGCAAATATGCATTTAAAACTGAAATTCGTTCATGTTTAGAGCACAGTTCACGACCAACGTCAACATTATGGGTGAATATGTTCGCAAAAGGTGGAAACAACGCAAAAAAATCAGCAATTGGACAAAGAATCATCGCAATTCTTCCTTACATTAAACAAGAAATTCCCATCATGATTGTGTTCCGTGCTTTGGGGTTTGTCGCTGATCGTGACATTCTCGAGCACATTATTTACGATTTCGATGATCCCGAAATGATGGAAATGGTGAAACCATCGCTTGATGAAGCTTTTGTTGTTCAGGAACAAAATGTTGCTCTCAACTTTATTGGATCTCGTGGAGCTCGTCCTGGTGTCACCAAAGAAAAGCGAATAAAGTACGCAAAAGAAATTCTGCAACGTGAAATGCTTCCACACGTTGGTGTTTCTGACTTTTGTGAGACAAAAAAAGCTTATTTCTTGGGTTACATGGTGCATCGACTCTTACTTGCATCTCTTGGACGACGCGAACTTGACGATCGTGATCACTACGGAAATAAACGTTTGGATCTTGCTGGACCTTTACTTGCTTTCTTATTCCGCGGTCTTTTCAAGAATTTAATGAAAGAAGTTCGAATGTACGCTCAAAAATTCATCGATCGTGGAAAAGATTTCAATCTTGAGCTTGCAATTAAAACAAAAATCATCACTGACGGTTTACGTTATTCCCTTGCAACTGGCAATTGGGGTGATCAAAAGAAAGCTCATCAAGCACGTGCTGGTGTTTCTCAAGTTTTAAATCGATTGACATTTGCTTCAACATTATCTCATTTACGTCGCGTGAATTCGCCGATTGGACGTGATGGAAAACTCGCCAAACCACGACAGCTTCACAATACATTGTGGGGAATGCTGTGCCCAGCTGAAACACCTGAAGGAGCTGCTGTTGGTCTGGTAAAGAATCTTGCACTCATGGCTTATATTTCTGTTGGATCGCAACCAGTTCCAATCTTAGAGTTCTTGGAAGAATGGTCGATGGAAAACCTCGAAGAAATCGCACCATCAGCAATTGCCGACGCAACGAAAATCTTCGTGAATGGATGTTGGGTTGGAATTCATCGCGATCCGGAACAATTAATGTCAACATTACGTAAACTTCGTCGTCAGATGGATATTATTGTGTCAGAAGTTTCAATGATTCGTGACATTCGTGATCGTGAAATTCGAATTTATACCGACGCAGGTCGCATTTGTCGTCCACTTTTAATTGTCGAAAATGGAAGTTTGTTGTTAAAACGAAGTCACATTGATAATTTAAAAGAACGCTACGACACAAATTACGGATGGCAAGTGTTGGTTGCATCAGGTGTTGTTGAATATATCGACACATTGGAGGAAGAAACTGTCATGATTGCAATGACGACAAGTGATTTGAAGCAGGAGAAGGAATACGCTTATTGTACAACTTACACACATTGTGAGATTCATCCAGCAATGATTCTTGGCGTTTGCGCTTCAATTATTCCATTTCCTGATCACAATCAATCACCTCGTAACACTTATCAAAGTGCTATGGGAAAACAAGCGATGGGCGTTTATATCACGAATTATCACGTTCGAATGGACACGCTCGCACATGTTCTTTATTATCCAATGAAGCCACTTGTGACAACACGTTCGATGGAATATTTGAGATTTCGTGAGTTGCCAGCTGGAATTAATTCAATTGTCGCTATTTTATGTTACACTGGATATAACCAAGAAGATTCAGTCATTCTCAACGCTTCAGCTGTTGAGCGTGGCTTCTTCCGCTCTGTTTTCTATCGTTCATATAAAGATTCAGAATGTAAACGAATTGGCGATCAAGAAGAACAATTTGAGAAGCCAAATCGTTTGACATGTCAAGGAATGCGAAATGCTTTGTATGATAAACTCGATGAAGATGGAATTATTGCACCAGGTTTGCGTGTGTCTGGTGATGATGTTGTTATTGGGAAGACCATAACATTGCCTGAAAATGATGATGATTTGGAAGGAACGACAGTTCGATTCACAAAACGTGATGCATCAACATTCTTGAGAAATTCTGAGACTGGCATTGTTGATCAAGTTATGTTGACACTTAACAGTGAAGGTTACAAGTTTTGTAAGATTCGCGTTCGTTCTGTTCGTATACCTCAAATTGGTGATAAGTTTGCTTCGCGTCATGGACAGAAAGGAACTTGTGGAATTCAATATCGACAGGAAGACATGCCATTTACATGTGAAGGTCTTACACCAGACATTATCATCAATCCACATGCTATTCCATCACGTATGACAATTGGACATTTAATTGAATGCATTCAAGGGAAGTTGGGATCAAATAAAGGCGAGATTGGTGATGCAACGCCGTTCAATGATGCTGTCAACGTGCAGAAGATTTCGACATTCTTGCAAGAGTATGGATATCATCTTCGAGGCAATGAAGTCATGTATAATGGACACACTGGACGGAAGATTAATGCGCAAGTGTTCTTGGGACCGACATATTATCAACGTTTAAAGCATATGGTCGATGATAAGATTCATTCACGTGCTCGTGGTCCGGTGCAGATCCTTGTTCGTCAACCTATGGAAGGTCGTGCTCGTGACGGTGGATTGCGTTTTGGTGAGATGGAACGTGATTGTCAAATTTCTCATGGAGCTGCACAATTCTTACGCGAACGATTATTTGAAGTTTCCGATCCATATCGAATTCACGTTTGTAATTTCTGTGGATTAATCGCCATTGCTAATTTACGTAACAATACTTTCGAATGCAAAGGATGCAAGAATAAAACTCAGGTGAGAAATCTTTCGTCTCATTTAATTTATTGCTGTAATTTAAATTTTTTGTTTTTTCAGATTTCACAAGTTAAACTTCCTTACGCTGCTAAATTATTGTTCCAGGAATTGATGGCAATGAATATTGCACCTCGTTTGATGGTCGTTTAAATGATAAGAAAATTTTGTGTAGTTTTAAGATTCATTTCCATTTAATTCAATAATAAAAAATATTTTTTCATTGAGAAATAAAAAAATTGTTCATGGAACTTTTTATAATTTCATTTATCTCATTAATAATTATTTTCGTTGATCGCGTATCTTTATGATCTCAGAGATGTCTGTTTTAATTTCAAAAGAACACCTTAAAAACAGGCAAAGAGTTTTCAGCTGTTGTGCTTTTAAAACGCAGTTTGAATCTCATTTCAATTTGAATTAACAAAATATTTTTCTAAGAACATGCTTAAGGATTTTCGAAATTCTAAGAAGATCGACAGTTGTAACACTAATTCAAGACCTGATGATGAAGATGACGACTTAACTATCTAGAAAAAAACATTTGAAAACTTAACGATTTCTTCTTAGATACGTTTCTGTTAAATAATTTTTTGGAATTAAAAGAAAACTATTTTTGTTCAGATATAAGTCGTAATTTTGGTCATTACATTTACTTATATCCTCACAATATCCACTTTATTGAATTTCATATTCAATAAACGAGTCTACATCTCAAATTAGAATTAGGTTTGGAACAATCATAATATGGACAACACTGTTTACCAGACCATATGGGTATACAATAATCAAAATCAGGTTGGTAGCAATCTTCAAAAACTTCTGAAGCTTCTCCATCATAGCATCTAAGGTATCTGCATCCATCTGTGCTCGGCCTAGTAGTACCAATGATTTCCCCTTCTTGATAAATTTTGCCATCTACATTACAAGTACCTGTGAAAAAAAACAGTAAAACCAACTTGAAATTAACTCCAATATTAATTTTCATACCAGGATGTGTAGTAGTAGTAGTAATAGAACCTGAAGTAGTTGGTTCACAATAAACACTATTTCAGCAATAATAACATATTTTCACATCATCTAAAGTTACTTATAAAACAAGAATTGTGAAGTGAGATGTCACAAAGCAGTTGTTCAAATATCATACAAAGAGAATACAAGCGAAATTAAGTTTAACTATTGAGTTGGTTAACTGTCTTAATTTAGCGTTTCATCATCGTTGTTTTCACCTAGGTAGGATCGATGATCAACATGTTTGATCTAGTTTCAATTTACCAGAATTGGTTTTCCGTCTTAGGTATAAATCGTTAATTTGACATTTTTGAAAGAATTTTCTTTTCTAATTTTATTTAATTTACCTATTTATTAAGCTGTTATACATTTGTAAAATGTACGTGAACAATCATATTCAGGACAGTATTCTCCTTCTGTAAAGATTTTCTCAATATTATCGTATTTGCTGGTAAAAGTAGTAATAAACGTCCACTTCACATTACATTATGGAGAATGCTGAAAAACATTTCTTCAATTTCATTTATCTCAGTAATAGTTAAAAACTGTTTTCGTCGATCGAGTATTTTCATCATCTCAGAGACGTCTGTTTCAATTGCAAAAAAAAACAACTTAAAAATAAGATAAAAGTTTTCAGCTGTTGTGCTTTTAAAACGTAATTTGGATCTCACTCTTAATTTGAATTAACAAAATATTTTTCTAAGTATCTGTTTAAAGATTTTTAAGGATCTAAAAAGATCAACAGTTGTAATATACTAATTCAAGACCTGATGATGATGATGACTTAACTGTCTAGAAATAAACATTTGGAAACATAAAGATTTCATCTTAGATACTTCTGTTTAACAATCTTTTTTTAAATTAAAAGAAAACTATTCTGTTCTGTTTAGATATATAAGTCGTAATTTTGGTCATTACATCTACTTATATCCTCACAATATCCACTTTATTGAATTTCATATTCATCAAACGCGTACACATTTCAAAGGTTTTTTTGAACAATCAATTTCAGGACAACATACTCCATCTGTATAGATAAGCCTACAATCAGCGATATCGTCTCTTAAATATGCTTCGCAATCAGTGTGAGTTCCTTCAACTTTTCCTTGAGAACAATAAAGGTCAAGACATGGGTCTGAGCCCTCAACAGCGAAAACGGCTTCCCCATGTTGATACATTTTACCTCCGTATGAACATGGTGCTTTTGAACAATCGTAAGATACAGGACAACATCTTCCTTGTTCATAAACAGGTGTACAAAATTCGTATCCGGGAGGGGGGCCATCTATATTATGTGCGCAATCAATGTGAGCTTCTTCAATGTTTCCTTGAGAACAATAAAGGCTAAAACATGGATCTGAGCCCTCCCCAAAATTGTAAATGGTTTGTCCATCTTGATAAATTTTACCATCGCTCGTAAGTACAAAAATCTGTAAAAAAAAGCAGTCAAACAAACTTGAAATTAACTGCAATATTATTTTTGTACTTTTCAACTCACCCAACTCAGAACAATCATATTCAGGACAACATTTCCCATCCATAAAAACAGGCGCACAAAAGTCAAAATCAGTTGGTTTGCAATATTCAAAACCTTCCGCAACATGTCCGCTTATACATTCAAGAGGATTCTTTTGCTCGGATCATGATTGAAACGTATTTCCTGATCTTTATAAAATTTTCCATTGTAAGTACAAGAACCTGTGAAAAAAAGAAAACAGTGAAACGAACCTGAAATTAACAACAATTTTTTTTGTACAATCATATTCAGGACAACATTCTCCATCCTTAAAAATAGGTATACAAAAGTCAAAATCTTCTTCTGGTGGGCATTCTTGAAAACTCTCCTCTATCACTCCGGCATGACATTCCCTAGTTAAACATCCATCTGTATATAAATCAGACTTGAAAATGATTTCCCCATCCTGATAATATGTTCCATCTACATTACAAGTACCTGTGAAAAAAAACAGTAAAATAAACTTGAAATTAACTCAAATATTATTTTTTATACTTTTCAGCTCACCTTCAGCATTTTCTATCACACTATAAAATGTTAAAAAGGATATTAAGATAAAGTATATTAGATAAACACAAAATGAGAGATACATTTTTACAATTTCTTCTACTTAAGATTTTCATCTCAAATATGTATATTAGATAATCTTATCAAAAAAAATACCTATTAATATAAACTTACCTGTTAAATAAAGCAATGTAAAAGAAAAAAATTGTGAAATTAACTTTAATCATTCTGAAAATTTGACTTCAAGCTGAGTACGTCTTCTAAAGTTGATATTTCAGCAATAATAACATATTTTTATATCAGCTGAAGTTACTTATAAATAGGGTAGTCAAGTCAGATCTGACATCAGGTCTGACGACATAGTATGTCGTCAGATCTGACGTCAGTCTGACGACATACCCGTCATACCAGTTTTTTATTGTATGGAGAAAAGAAAAAGGAAGATATTTTGAAATTTTGACTTCTGTTTTATTTTTAAATTGTCCAATTTCGAAAATCTTCAGCTTGTAATGCAAAAACATCATTAAAAATGTAATCATTCATTATTTTTTTCATCCAAATTTTTACTATTTTTGTATAGAAAGGCTATTTTAGTTTATTTTCATACATGCATATTTTTTTGGAGTTATGATATTTATTAAAAAAGAACTGTAACTATAAGATTTAGGTACNTTTTCGAAATTCTAAGAAGATCGACAGTTGTAACACTAATTCAAGACCTGATGATGAAGATGACGACTTAACTATCTAGAAAAAAACATTTGAAAACTTAACGATTTCTTCTTAGATACGTTTCTGTTAAATAATTTTTTGGAATTAAAAGAAAACTATTTTTGTTCAGATATAAGTCGTAATTTTGGTCATTACATTTACTTATATCCTCACAATATCCACTTTATTGAATTTCATATTCAATAAACGAGTCTACATCTCAAATTAGAATTAGGTTTGGAACAATCATAATATGGACAACACTGTTTACCAGACCATATGGGTATACAATAATCAAAATCAGGTTGGTAGCAATCTTCAAAAACTTCTGAAGCTTCTCCATCATAGCATCTAAGGTATCTGCATCCATCTGTGCTCGGCCTCAAAGTACCAATGATTTCCCCTTCTTGATAAATTTTGCCATCTACATTACAAGTACCTGTGAAAAAAAACAGTAAAACAAACTTGAAATTAACTCCAATATTAATTTTCATACCAGGATGTGTAGTAGTAGTAGTAATAGGACCTGAAGTAGTTGGTTCACAAAAAACACTATAATATAGGTATTAAAAGGATTTTTAGAATAAAATACGAATATTTAAATAAAGTGATCTTACTTGTTAATTACAACGAAGTAAAAGAAAAAAATGATGAAATTTACTTCAATCATTCCGAAAATTTGACTTGAAACTGAGTACGTCTTCTAAAGTTGATATTTCAGCAATAATAACATATTTTTATATCAGCTGAAGTTACTTATAAAACAAGAGTTGTGAAGTGAGATGTCACAAAGCAATTGTTCAAATATCATACAAAGAGAATACAAGCGAAATTAAGTTTAACTATTGAGTTAGTTAACTGTCTTAATTCAGCGTTTCATCATCATTGTTTCCACCAGAGATCGATGTTCAACATGTTTGATTTAGTTTCAATTTACCAGAATTGGTTTTTCATCTCAGTTATTAATCGTTAATTTGAGATTGCTGAAAGAATTTTCTTTTCCAATTTAATTTAAATTTATTTATTAAGCTGTAATAGGGTAAACAAGGTATTGTGAACACAGTGTTTTTTGTAAGGTATTGTGAACACACCTAATTTCGAATGCGATTTTCTTCGCTATTTTGCATTCAAATGGATCAAAACTTTGCATAGAAGTAGAGTAGATAGTTCAAACTACTTCTATGCAAAGTTTTGATCCATTTGAATGCAAAATAGCGAAGAAAATCGCATTCGAAATTAGGTGTGTTCACAATACCTTACAAAAACACTGTGTTCACAATACCTTGTTTTACCCTACATTTGAAAAATTTATTTCGATGGATTGCAGCCATCGTATTCCGGAATCAGGCCGGAGGGTGAACTCGAGGATCAGGAGACTTCCTAGAGCGAGTTTTCTTCTGGTTTAAGGCACTACATAAAAAAATTCCTGATGAAACATATCCCAGACTAAATTGAAGTCAAATAATATTAAAATTGACGGCAGTTTATTAATACCTTGTTTTTTATTAAAACAACTAGAGGACAACGCTTGTAGTTGATCAAAAGAAGATCTTTATTTGTATTCGTTTCATATTAATTAAAAAGCTCAAATAAAACTGTTTTCGTTGTTCCTTAAGTCAACAACAGTCTAAATTAAAATATCTTGAAGAAGAAATAAGACGCAGAAGTTTTTAATTGCATTTGAGAAATGAATTTATCAATTGAAATTTATGCAGTGACAAATTTATTGAACAGGTTCACATTTTATCACAGGGTTGGGCTGAGGCGAGCTGTATTCTAGAGGTTCATCACCACAGTCATCTTCATATGTACATAGGACAACATTCTCCTGCTCTAAAGATTGGTGTACAATTGTTGAATCTGTCAGTAAATGCTGCTGCGCAATCATTGGAACATATATGCTTCGACATTTCCATCTGTACAATAAAAATCAGTACATCCATACACTCCATGTTGATCGCGATAAACGAACTCATAATTTCCCGTCCTTTTCGGCTGTTACACTTTAAAGTGTTAAAAAAGATAAGAATTTTACTCAAAACAGATTTAAATAAGACTTACACGTCAGCGTAAATGATGAAAATTGTCAACAAAAATACAAACGAGTAGAATTTAATCATTTTTAAAAACTTCAGTTTTGCTGCTGCCTCAGATACAGTTGATACTTCAAAAACAAGTGAAAATTTCATATCAAATATAAAAAAAGAGACGTCAAAAGAAGCATGTTCAAATAGTAATTAAGAGAAACTCAACAGCGTGATATGAACAGTTATAACTTGATAGTTGTAACATGACCCATTTATGAGAAAGAAATTATAATTATTTATTCTTTTGTTGAAAAAATCTTCATTTCCAATTTATTTATCCACTTCATTGGGAAACATTTAGATACATAATAATATGTGAACAATCATATTTGGGACAACAAACTCCTTCTGTAAAGATTGGCTTGCAGGCAATGTATTCATCAGTGAAAGCTCCTTCACAGTCCTCGGTTTGGTCTCGTTGTACATTTCCATTGATGCAGCGATAAAAAGAACAACCAATTCCATCGAACGCACCCAAGTAAACGAAGTCTCTGTTTTGATATGTTTTTCCTTTATATGTACAAGGTGCATCACCTTCTGTGAAAAGAAATTACAAAAAATTGTATTGAATTCTTATTAACGGACATTAGTTTTAATTTTTCGTACCAAAAGTAGAAGGCGTAGAAATAGCTGAAGGACACTCAAAATTGGGACAGCAAACTCCTTCAGTAAAGATTGTTTCACAGCCATCAACGACGAGGCCAGGATCAAAAATTTCTTCACATTCAATGTAATATGGTTCTAAACTTCCATTGATGCAATAGTAGCCCTCACAATATCCTTGGTTATATGGGCCAGTGTAAACTTTGTCTCCATTTTGATATGTTTTTCCATTGTATGTATAAAATTCTGTTTCTACGAAGAAAATTGAAAAAAATCGCATTCTAATAATGCAAATTCTGATATAGATTATTCAAACCTGATGTACGAGAAGATGTATCCGAAGGTTGTGCTTTCACTCTATAAAAGAATAAAGTATTTACGGAGGCCCCACCCTAGGGTGACGGGCAACCGTATTGGATTTGCCAAAAAATTTCAAAAAATTTTCTTTG